AATTTATAATGAAAGGGATAGAGGCCATTGTACATATATTTACATTAAGTATTAAGACAGCAGACGGACTTTGGGCTTCTACCCCAGGCCTCCCTTAACAACAAGAACACTTTGTTCTGATAACCTGGCACTCTTTGATACTCACCTTCCCGACATGATCGCTGAAGACAAAATGTGTACATAAGCAAATATGGTGGAGAAAGTATATAGTGCCAGGCTATCAAAAGATATAGCACCTGGAGTCTTAAAGGCTTGAAGTTAAACAAGCAGCTATCTAGCAGGGAAGCAAATAAGCCCACATGGAAGAAGCACACCAGCCCATGTGATCACGAGGTATTGATTGACAGGATCAGGTATCAGGTATCAAAAGATCCCAAACAAACAACTACATTGACGTGAATGAGGAGGGTTGGAGTGAAGACCCAAAGCCCATCTGTAGACAATTGGATATCCCCTCACAGAAAGGTTATAAGGAAGGGAGGACTCAACCAAAGTGTAGTATAGCACTGATGAATCACACATCATTCCTCTAGTTCCTGAATGTTCCTCTCCCCCACTACCATGACTGTGGCCATGACATCATCTCCTGTCAACTTGTGAAGGAGTAAAGTCCAGCCTGTCAATCAGGCTATTGCCAATTGGCCTCTGTGAGCATGGCCTTCTCCTGAGGATTCTGGAAACTCCTGTATTCTTCCCTGGGGGCAGGAGACTTTCTCTGCTTCATCTTCCTGTGACAAACCACATGGAGCTACACTGATGTTGCCAGAGCCCTGGAACTTGAGGAGCCATGTGGTGACCCACACTACCACTGGATCCACAAGACTTTCCACCCACTAGGCTATGATCTTCCTGTATTCAGCATTGTTGCATAGCTGCGTGAGTCTAAAAAGGAATTTATGGACTAGTATTGACATACGGGGTAATATCAGACTTATGGACTTGATACTCTTTGATATAAAGTTCTCTCTTACACATATGAGTGTCTCTGGGTTTGTTTCTCTATTTTACCCAGAGACTATATGACCCAATGACACAATGACCCAGTTTGCCTTACAAATCTGGCTGGACTGGAGAACACACATTGGTACAGACAAGAGCACTCAACACATGGAATTCAGGACAGATAAACCCCTCAGGAATAGTAGCTGGAGTAGTGATATCATGAGGGTAGGGGGATGGTTGGAGGGGGAAGGGGGAGAAAAGATGAACCCATCACAAGATTAGATATATACCCCCCCCCCAAGACAAATAACAGAAATGTGGATAAAGGGAGACAACAGATAGTGTAAGGTAAGAAATAACAGTAACAATATATAATTGATCAAGGATTCACGAGGGTGGGAGGATGGGGGAGGGAGGGGGGAAATGAGGAGCTTATACGAAGGGCTCAAGTAGAAAATGTTTTGGAAATGATGGCAACATATGTACAAATATGCTTGACACAACTGATGTATGGAATGTTATATGAGCTATAAGAGCCCCCAATAAAATGATTAAAAAAAAAAGAGAAGTTGGTTCTTTGAAAGGATCATCAAAATTGACAAACCTCTAGCAACTGAACAAAAGCAAAAGAGAGAAGATACAAGTATCTAGAATTAAAAATGGAAAAGGTGGCATCACAACAGAATTAAACAAAATTAAAAATT